TGCGATGACAACAATAAAATGAAACGAAGCATGAGAAACAAAAAAAAAAAAAAGAAAAAAGGTAACGCCTCGAAATTCTACACTTACCTGACCAACACTAAAAAGAAACCTACACTGATAAAACAATTTAGAAAATCTAATTATAACAGTCTATTTGTTACTTCAAAGGCAATCACTATCAACTCATTGGAGTAGCGTGACCAAGTAAGCTTAATATCTCAATAAGATCCGATCAGTAACCGTGTGCTTTTGAAGTAACAAATACACTGATATGATTAGATTTCAAAATTTTTTTTTAATCGGTGTAGTTTTCTTTTTAGTGTAGGTCAGGTAGGTATAAAATTTCAAGGCGTTACCTTTTTCTTCTTTTATTTCTCAGCACTTTCAACACATTTTTTTTCTAGATCCAAACAAAACTAATCAATTTCTGTAATTCCCCATTAAAAGAAAAGTCAAAAGGAAAAGAAGAAAGTGAAAGGATAAACTAGCAAAAAATTTTACAAACATCAATAAAAAGAAATAACAAAAAATAAATAAAATTAAAATAAAGAAAAAACAAAAAAATACATATGCGATTAAGCAAACTGAAAAATAAAAATCTACCTCTAACAACCCCCCCCCCAAAAAAAAAAACGACATATTTTTTTAAACATTTCAAAACCATATTATCAAGGTGCCAAATAAAGATTTCTAAAACTTGGATAAGAATCAATGTATAAAAAACTTTCCCAAAAGCTTTTTGATTCCAAGCGTTTTTGGGACTTCCTCCCACCAACTCTCCTGCCTCCTGAAGATTTTTTTCTTCAAACTTACCCATCGGTTCCATTAATTTTTACCACTGTAATATCTGAAAACTTAACAAAAAGAACTATGCTAAGAACACTAAAAAAAGAGGGCTTTTACCAGCGAAACCACAAAAAAATCTCATAAGATTTCTTGACAATACAGAAATTCCCAAAATGATTTTTGAACAGCTATGTTTACTGCCCACTCCATCCGACAAACATCACCAATTTGAAAACGTTAAAAATTTTAATGCCAAACCTGTAGAAGATTAACAAAAGATGAAACAACCAAAAATGGCACGAAAGAGTAGCTTTAAATAAGCGATAAAATCATTATCTAAAAAAATTGTAACACTAAAAAATTCTTCTGCACGTTGCATACCGAAAATGCGTAAACGCGTGAAATACTGAAAAAAAAAAAAAAATAAAATAAAATAAAATAAATCAAAGTTAAATCAAACTGTATGGCTAGAAACTAAAGAGGCATAATTTATTCAAAGAAAAAAACTGTTATATGAAAGCACCACAGACCTGCTGTAATCAATCTTTTATATACCAAACCCAGTTTGCCCATGTCGTTGAAGCTTCACCTATCACCACCATTAACCTGCTCACATTTCTACCTTCCGTCTTTTTAATGACAACTGTTTTAGCTAAAATGGAAATACAAGGATTATAGGAGTAAAAACAGCATTTGTAAAAAGCAGTTTACATTTTCTAAATAAATATATATAAACTACCAAAGTAAGGCATTTTTCTTTCTCAACCAAATGAACAAACTAAGCACAGCGAACAAGCTCGTGTTTTTTTTTTTTTTT